CAGGAGATAGTGGGACAGGTTGGCAAAATATTTCACATTTTGATTTTTTATGCAAACTATGTTTAGTAATATCATTGGATAGTATAAACATTGAGAATATATTATAATGTGTTTCATACCTTTGGGTAAAGTCCTGAGTTATTAGAATTTTTTTTTTTTTTATTATTTTTTTTTAAATTTTATTTGTTTTCTGAAAACTAATATTATATAAGTGAAACCAAATGTTTCCATAGAATTTATTGAATAACAATACTGCACTTTTCTATCAATCCTGATATACTCGAGTCTTGGATGTTAACGGGTATACACCTAAGAACCAACTTCAAGCAAAGGAGATGCGTTATCTCCGTAGGATCGAAGGTAAAACAAGGAGAGTTTGAGTGAGGAAAATCATTATCCGATGCAACCTGAAGAATAGTAAGGCTTACTTATGAAACAGGCAGGAGTTAGAAAGCCTAAGAGACGGCCTAGGAAGACCTGGGAGAGCGGAATAAAGGATACCTTTGACCGAAGAGGTATAGATTAGACAAAATGGAAGCAATTGCCACAATATAGAGACTTATGGATCATGCTCTATAAGCTGAAGTCTTATACTACTTAGGATGGATGGATTAAGTAAGTAAATAAGAATAATAATAATACATTCTACCACACTCAAGGGCAGGAGGTATTAGTGATAAAAGCACGATGATGGTCACTTTGGACTTGAGTTGACCTTACACTCAATAGATTTAAACCTAAAAATTAACACTTAACATTTACCTAATATCTCCCGGGACTGCTGCACAAACTCCGAAAATTCCTACCACCTACATACTTCCTCACTATCCGTTTCTACCTTACTGATAGATACTTTAAAGTAAATCACAAAAACGCCTATTCTAAACTCCAATAAATCCCACCAAATTACCTTTACTGTTCGTCGTAAACCAATGACTTCTGTCCTACAGTTTCTTTTAACAATATTCCACTTATCCCTGTTGAGCAAATCCGTTACCTAGGACTCCACCTGGACAAACTACTAACTTGGAATCCTGATACTAGACTGAAACGATAAGAAACCGCTCAACGTTTCCTATTACTTCAGCTCTTACTAGACAAACGCTCTAAACTCATTTAATTAAAAATACTCATATACATGACTATAATAAGGCCTATTTGGACTTACGGAGTTGAGTTATGGGGATCCACTAAACCATCGAATTCCTCTCGTATCTAATCCTTACAATCCAAAATCCTTCGTAAATCCTCAATGCTCTCTACTTTGTTACATATAAAACCATCCATAATGAAATTATGTTTCAGATCTGGCCCAATCCAGATACCTTATTCTCCCATAGTAAACTTCTGAATCATCCCAACCCTTTCGTTTCTAAACTTGCTTCCTCTTCAATTCCTGATAACCCTCCGAGGCGTCTGAAAAGAAGATGGCCCCGTTATCTCCTAATGTAGACATATCATTAGAGTGCTACCATTGGGTAGTTACTCAGCAAGTGTTTTCATGTCATTATGTCCAAATGATCAAATTTACTAGATGTATTTATTTAATACATTTGTAAATATCATTAAGTAATAATAAAAAAAACTAATATCTAATAAAGTTTACAATGATACTATTTAGATTTCAGATATTTCCTAATGACGTATTTAAATGTTTCATAAAAATTTTGAATTGACATCATAGAATTGTTTGAAAATACTTAAAAAATAAATACATATAAATTTTACTTATTTTTTGAATAAATAGAATTGCAATGTTTTATAAAGGCGGTATAGGTACTTAGCAGCTTGAAAGACGATTCCTTTCCACTGGACAATAAATCTCCCACTTTATACCCTATTATTTATTTATGGGTTTATTCTATTTCTGCCCATTATCCTCTCCAATCCGCTCCCGCACAAATGATCCCATATTTATGGGCTTCTCGACTCGTTAAGTCTGGTTGTGGACCTTTTTTAGCCACTTCGCTTTGCTTAATCCTAAATAGATCAGATTTTGGCTAGATTCGACCCTAGCTTCCTGGGCCATTTGTATCAAGGTTACAAAATTTGTGATTTACAAGGTCTGTGGGCGTGGGTGTACAAGTTTCTAGATCGGGAAAGGAATTTGATTGCATAGTTTCATGGCCCATTACTTACATTTGAATACTCCTTTATTGGCTCATCCACTATCTTCTGGAATTCCTTACCATCTGATATCCGCCATGCCTCATCCTTAGCATCATTCAAATACCATCTTTACCAATTCCTTTTCACATCCCAAAAGGACGCTGTACAAACATGAAGTGAATTTTGATTGAAATGAATAGTTGCTGAAATTGTTTTTGTTTTAATTTTAAGAAACAACTCATAGTGTTTATAACATTTTGTTTTTCAGATTTCTACTCTTTCTCTTTTTCATTTCAATTATGTTTTCTTATTTTCCAAAAGTTTTTACTTTCTGTTGTTTCTATATTGTCACTGAAGATGTATATTCTATTGATTTTTTATTAATGTATTTTTTGGGTAGATTTGTTTTTTGTTTTTAGTTCATAATTATTATTCTTAAGGGACCCTGTCTAAGAATAAAGTTTATTTTAAATCTATCTATCTATCTATCTATACTGCTGGAATTACTTCGTGTGGTTGTGTCGAAATCGTATTGTGGTATCTCTAAAAAGAAAATATTAAAACTAGGCGGTCATCCAGAAGTTGAGGAATCTCTTTATATGTGGCTTTCCCAGCAGAGATCACAATACAAGCGTGTCTAACATATTTTTTTAAAGCAGGTATCTTATGATGATAATTTTTATTTCTCTGGAATATTTCCGAGACCTGCCATTTTCTTCAGCAAAATAATTATTTGATTTTATGAAAACATTAATGACTGTACAAAGATTATATGATCATTTTCAGAATAATTTTTGAAGTGAAAACTTCTTTAGGCGCGTTTGGCACTTTTTTGTGGAGAATGAATAGATTGAGCTGTCAAATTTCCGATGTGTAACGCTCGGGTAAAATCGGCTGGAGTCGAATAATTAAGATGTTTTTGCATATGGATTAAAATATCTCAGAACTTAAAATCGGACCTACATACTGTAAGCGAGGGAATTTTTCATAATTTTCCGTTCTGAATGGTCAATTATTTACAATTTATATTTCATATTATTAATCTCGCCTTGTAGATTTTTTCATTTCTATCGTGTGGTATAAAGCACACACCTTAGTTTTTTTTTGTTAGCAATGTTTGTATATTTACCTGATAAAGCATATAGTTTCGTTGCCTTTTGAAATTTTCCCATCATTTTAAATTTAATCCTCGATAATCTGAACATTTTAATAATCCACACAGTTCATGCAATCTACGTGTTGGCATTATCAAGACCGTCTTGTATTTTCACACTTGTCAACTAGTGTTGCCCAAATGCGAGACCGAGACGAGTCTTGGTCTTGCAAACTCAGTCTAAGTCATGGTCTTGGTCTTGCGCAAGAGTCTCGCAACAGTCCTGCATTTACTTATTAGCTCATTACTACAGAGATATTACTGTAATTTTTTAGACAGGAGAAACCTAACTAAGCCTGAATGAAAAATTAAAGGAGTTAAATGCAAAATTATATTGGTTATACCGATTCTTTAAATATAGTAACTAAGATCGTCAAGTATTAGTAACGATTTTGTCTTAATTTTTATTTAAAAAATCGATATCTTTAGTCAGTCCTGGTCTTGGTCTTGCAAAAGTTAGGCGACCAACACTATTGTCAACACTACTTAAATATCGTTCGATAGTATGCGAATAATATATTACTCAAGTCCTGTTAAACAGCTAATTATCTGCGATAAATATACAATTAATTTAGAGATTAACTCTTGGACCGTAGCTAATTTTCACAGTTAAATTATATGTTAGCTGAAATAAACAGCTTTTTGATTTAACTATAGAAATTAGCTCCTATGACAATTAAAACTGATTAACTTTAGCTTTATCCATCGCAAATAAGCTATAGCTAATTATTTTATTATTTGGATGGTTATGTAGTATCGTTTTTAAATAATAAATTGTGAGCTATTATCAATTATTCATTTTTGTTTACTTCTTGTTATATTTTTTGAATCCTTAGGCTTGCCCTTCAGTATTATGCTAGTTGTTCCTAAATTTTATTTTAACATTTATTGTTATTAATATACATATATTATGATATTACATTATATATGTACATTAACGGAACCATTGCTTATAAGAAAAATAAGTAATAAAGAAAAATGAAAAAATAGTATATATATGAAGCAAATTTAGTTAAAACATCTTAATCTTTTGATGAAAAGAAGCGATTTTTCTTTTTAAATTTCCTATATTGGATGACGCTTTATCCATTCCAAATAAATATATATAAATTGCAACTACATATTTAATATTAAATTTAAAATTAAAAAAAAATTGATGCCAGACCAGCTTAATAACCTTATCAGCCTTTTAAATTAATTTAAAAAAATAAATATTTCGATGTCAAAATTCAAGATTGAAATAATGTCGTTATTGAAAGAAATTTATTTTCTTTATTATTGTTATGAATAAAAAATATCTGCATTATTTTAAGTCGATTTTACATTGTTTGTTATTGATTAAACAAAGAAGAAAAGATTTGTTAAATTAAATATTATTAATAAAGCAAGAAAGTATGCACAATTTTAATTATTATGGGTTTGATAAGATACTCTGAGTTTAAGGAAGCTTATATAAGATGATTTATATTGTTTTTAAAAATCTGTTTGACAGCAGTTAAAATTTTGAAGATTAAAAAAAATAGAGTTAATACTTTATTAAGCAATGTAATAAATAGAAATATAAATACAATAAAATTAATAATTGATATTTTAAAATATATATTTAAAAACGGACGTATTTTTTAAATAAATAACTGAAGGAAATACAGTTTATGATACAGAGGATTGTAGCCCACCCCCACCCCTCACAGAGCCCACCCCGCCACAGAGCTGAGCCCTCCTGTCAGTCCAGTGATAGCTCGCCCAGGCGCCTCACCGTCATGTGGAGATGAATATCTGTATCTTCGTAAGTAACGAGTATCTCGTATCCAGTATCTGTATCTAGTACTAGTATATATTGCATTAACTGTTCATCAGTATTTTATTGAAATTATTTACATTTCAAAATAATTTTAATTTTTTTATTCACAAAAATTTTGACAGCTGTCAAATCGATATTACAAAAAAATGCATACAGTTTTGTTATGAAACTTATAACAAAACTGTATCTGTCGTTAAATAGATTTAAATTTATTTAACTTTTAATAATTTATTTCCGATTATAACTGTATATATTTGAATAATAATTTTTTTTTCTTTGTTCAATCCAGAATTAATATTTTTTTATTTGATAAATTGTATACAGAAATGTAAAATAGACGGAAAAATCATACTTTTTTTATTTATTTATAACAATAGTAAAAAAGCACGCACTCTTTTCGTAAACGATATTTTAATTTTGAATCTTAGTTTCTAAATATATATTTTTAATTTATTTAAAAACGCTGCTACAGTTATTATATCAATTTTCATGTTCTTTCTTTTTCTTAAGTTTTAAAATGAATATAGAATATGTAATTGCAATTGATATAGCTTTGTTTGGAATGGGTAAAGCGTCATTCAGTATAGGAAAGATATTAAAAATCACTTCTTTGGTTAAAATACTAAGTTAGATGGTTTGACAAAATTTGCTTCACATTTATTTTTATTTATTACTGTTCTATGAAAAATAATACTGTAAAATATTTTTCTCATCCCAAAAAAAGGATTGTTTTTCGGAAATTATTATTATTACAATTAAATCGGAATATTATTATTACAAATAAAAGTTAGTAAATATTTTAAAGAAGATTTTAAAAATGTATTAGTCAAATTTTCAAACTAATAAAGCGTCGGCCAGAGGCCCCTAATAAGAAAAAAAAAGTTTATTTAAAACGCTAATAAAAATAAAAATAAGTATTAAGTCCAATTTTATGTACATTTTTTTTTTTTTTTTTGTATTAGTTGCTTATTATTTTAAAGGAAAATGGACAAGATTTAAGTAGTTAACATTAAACAAAATATTTTATAATATACAATTCTCTGGTCATAAACATTGTTTTTTTGTTTATTTTTTTCGCAAAATAATGGATATTTTTGTTAATATTATACTACAATTTTGGATGAGTAACTTGTACCTGACTAACAAAGCATGTTTTTGTACTTAATTTAAATTGATCCGTGACATACAATATAGTATCCAGTTAATTAAGTTGTATATATTTAATGAGTTTATTTAAGTATTTTTCTCGAGCAATCTGTGTAATCCGAACTTCAGGTAATCCGAACACATTTTTTAGCATATAGTTCGGATTAACGAGATTGCATTATATTAGGTTAATCAGTGCAATTTGATTTTAAACTAACGGATCTTTTTTAATAATATTATATTATAGTTTTTGAAGATTGAGCCGTAACTGCCTATGAAGGCATGTTTATGTACTTAATTTAAATTGCCCCATAACTCACTCTGGCAGTCACATTGAGCTGTGTTGTCCCACCACCACTTTCAACATTATACATTATTTATACCAACATTTCTGTATAACTATGCGGTTTGTTACATAACCTTAACTTTATCCAGTTCAATGCTAACCTTGAGTTAGAAAGAAATCTTTTGCTTTATTTGTTCTAATTAGCTTTATCAGGTGCGGGGTTTTTTTAGAGCCTTCAAGAAGAAAATTTTGAATTTTTTTGTAAATTTAAAAATAAAAATTTAATATTTTGATCGCGAAGGAAGCGAAACCTCCTGACTTTGACCTTGACACAATCCCAGGTGGGACCCTTCTCTCACTGATATTTATAATAGAAAAAATATCTTGTCTGCAATATTGTGTAAATAATATTCTTATTCTTATTAATTTTAGTCTTTTTTAAAAAATAATTTTCTTTTATATTGTATCATCTGTTACCTACATTTTATTATAATTTTTTTTCGATATTATTAAATTAAATTTATTTTCAAGTTTATTTATTATCAGCCAATTTTACACCAATTTTTAACATTTTGTTATCTTAATAACTACACATCTAATTACGACGTTTCGGCTCGTTGAGCCAATTTCAGGTCTAAATACCCATCATGTCTACTGATAATAAAAATTGTTTTTCTTGTCATGCCCACCTTATCATGTGTCACCGATATGTCATCAGTCTCATTTCTATTCAGTGACTAATGATATGATGTTTAGTCATTAAGTTGACAAAATGTTAAAAATTGGTGTAAAATTGGCTGATAATAAATAAACTTGAAAATAAATAGTATGTACCGAAGAAGAATTGGAGAAGTATTGTGAATAGTCTAATAAGGGCCTTAAAATTTATAATATGGAAAATTAAAATACGTATAAAAACACCACTTTACCGAGTTTTAAACGAATAATACTTCAATTAAAATCGGCTGTATCATTGCTAATACTATTACGATATGGTTATTATATATAAATGGTAAATATATATAAATGTACTGTAAATAAGATAAATGTGCCGGTATTTGACACATTAAAAGAAAATTTCAACGTTAATATGAACCACAGCTTTGGTTATAAGAGTGGATCTTACAAATAGGTTTAATTGAAAGCAAATTTAATATTTTATCTCACTTCTGTGTTTCTTACAGTCAATTAGTTTATTATTAAAGAAAAACTTAAGGAATTCTGACTGCGTATTTTGCACCAGTTATAGACACATATGTTTCGAGGCTAAATAAGTTTTTAATTTAACTCGAAAACCCAAAATTAATTCCCCACCAATTTCAAACTTATCTCCTAAAGGAAAATAATAAGAAAGCCTTTTTGAAACAAACCTCAGCCTTGTTTTATTTGAAAATCAAATACCAATCGGCAATTTTGGTATGATATAACTTGACTTTCAGACATCAACTTCTTAAGTGTTTTAACTGCAAATGTACTCATATTTGCACTTTCTTTTTGGTTTATAAAGCTTATTATCTGTTAATCAGTAGAAAACTGTTCATTATTTTTTTTCATTTTAGAGAACATCCAATTACCTTTCAAAAGAGTACTCATAGTTCTAGTAGACGAATAAGTTTCGAGTTAAAATTTTTATGAATTAGAAATAATTTTTTTAGCCACGTAGGAGTAAGATTTTTCTCTAAAACCAGCCTTGTTGAAACTTTACAGCATAGTGGGAATTACAAATTTAAATTTATACTTCATGACTGACCACTAAAAAAAAAGAAACTAAAATTTTAATATTTGATTTAATTGTTGAATCGGATACAACTCTTAATACTCATCTTGTACCAAAAGTGTTAATTAAAAATTGTGGCGGTTAGCATATAATAAAAATAATTACATATTTTTCATGAGATATATTATTAGATGATAAGTTCAAGGTTACATAATTGTATAACCTTGTGCTTATTTAAATTTTCTTCCGTATTGTCTGCCCTCTTGGAAGTACATTTTTACTTGTTACTTTAAATTGTTTTATGAATTAATTGAAAAAAGTTAATACTTAAATTTTTTTTAATGAGAAAAGGCGTAAAAATAATTAATCCATAAAAAATGTTAAGAAGACTGAAAACAATTTAATTTTTATTTTTATTCATATAAAATTTTTGGCTTTCCGATCATCTGGATCACCTTCGCCAAACATCATAGTTATTAATTTAAATATAAAAATACAAAATTTTGGAAAATATTTTGCTTCCTTTAAGACTCTTTAATATTTCTAATAATAATATAATATAAGCATTGCTTTAATCTTGAATATTTGAAAAAATCGACGAAGCGGTATTAAAATAAAATATCGTAAAAAATATCATTGATAATTTAGTATAAATATTTCAATCTTACAATGAATTGAAATTTATATTCGTAGATTTTTTTCTGTAAATTTTTACATTTCCAAATTTAAGATTGGGTAAAGTTAGCTTTTGTCATTTTGAAGTTTCTATCGGAATAATATGATCATTTCGAAGATGTAGTTTGAAAGGCATATGTACCAACATTGGACACTGTACTAATAATAGAGTTTTCAACTAATTAACAAATAATAAGCATTAAACACACTAGAGTGTGTAATTAAACACACAAATTAGAGTGTGTAAATAAGTGTAGGTTCGATTCTGAACAATTAGGACGGTGATGGCTGAACCTCAACAATAGTCGATAGGTAGTTAATTTTGTAATAAAGCAAGACTTAATATTTGTTTCAGGAAGATTTTCTTATTATTTTTATTTAAAAGATAAGTTTAAAATTTTAATTTATCATTTATAGTTTGCCCCATTTATTAGTTTAAAACTATGAATAATTTATTTTATTTTTTTAAATTATATAAAATCCTATTGATTTCAAAATCTGAGTGTCTGATGCAATTTATACTGTCAGGATTTTTTCTTGTGTTTAGCAGCCATGAAGCAGAAATTTAAATTGCTAGTTATCCTTATGCTGTAAATGTGAAATAAGGATAGTAGAAAAATTCTTACTCCTAGGTGGCTTAAAAAAATATTTCAAATTCCTAAAAATAACAAGTCGAAAACTATTATGTCGCCTAGAAGTAATAGTACTCTTTTGAAAGGTAGTTGAATGTTCTAAAATATGAAAAAAATAAATTAACTAATGTAAATGTTCTAGTAGTCGACAATGTGTCAGTAATACATAGTTTTGAATTCATTACAAGCTTTATACACCAAAATATACAAATATGAGTTGATTTGCCGTTAAAACACTTAAGGGGGTGATGTCTGAAACTCAAGTTATATGATGTCATAATTGTTGATTGGTGTTTGATTTTCCAATAAAACAAGGCTGGTTTCAAGGAGGTTTTCTTATTATTTTTCTTTCGAAGATAACTTTGAAAATCTTATTCATTTAAACATTAAAATTATGCAGAATTAATTTTAGGTTTTTTGAATTATATAAAATCGAACTTATGTACCCCAAAACATAAATAAGTCTTCATTACGGGTACAAAATACACTGTCAGAGTCTCTTAAGTTTTTCATGAATAATTAATTGATT